ATGCAAATTTGGCAGGGCATCAAGCATGGAGTAGTGAAAGAGACTGATTTTCTCTCTGTTGGACTTGGTCATTAAAATCTACTGGCTCTAACCTTCCTCAATCAACCCATTTATGAGCTAAGGCCACTAACATTAGAATGTCACAATATGTTCCACAGCTGGAATAATTTGATGTGTAGCATTCAAACAAAATTCAATCATCCAGATAGTTTTACTGATTAATATATATATATATACTTTAATAAAGAAACATGTCAAAAGGCTTAATTTATTGGGTAGTGTGGATTTTGGAACCAACAACTGAGCAATATTTTGTCCCAATTGTGTCACTTTTAACTCCAATTAATTACACCAGTTGAAATATGGATATTACATTTCACCAACATTGGCATTGCAATGAAAATAAAAAAAAGTACGGCATTTAATACTGCCCTGACTTTTAATTAAAATTAATATTTTACTAGTGAGGCCCTAACATCATTAGTAAAAGCTGCTAACCTCTTGGCTATCTTCCACAGTGCATGTTTTGTAGAGTAGTGTATAACACATTTTGAAGGCATCAAATGCTGCATGGATCAGCTGTGACACTGTGATCTTTGACATTTTCAATCTGGAATAGGGAACTGAGCTGAGAATCCCTTCTGCCAATGGAACTGTTTTGGAATAAACTTTATATTTATCAGTTGTTTACTTAATCTACAATTTACTAATTGGCTGGCACAAATGATAGTAAATGTATCCAAAGAAGAGTAAATTACTCATTAACTAATCGGCAGAGGAAGCAGTGCCATACCACCTTTTCCTTTAGCAGAAGATCAGAAGTGATCAGCGTGTGTGTGCGCATGCATGTATAAATGTCCTTAATTCTGAAGAACTAAAATTAGCAACGACCCCGAGCTTATGTCCTGGCGCTGAGATAAAGGCCTAGATTCCAGTGCTTTTGGAAGTGGTCCTAGTGCCCATCATCATGAAACTACCACTAACCCACCACACTTTTCTAACAGAAACCTGAATAGCCATCCCGGGTGATTTTGCAGCCAGATATCTGCCCTTCCTTGGTTCTCTCCCACTAGGAAGGATAAGACTTCGGCCCAATTAAAGGGCAAGATGACAGAAGAGCGGAAAACTTTTGAGTATCAGTAGCTGGAGGAGCCCTATCGTGGAGCAACCTCTTCGTTATTCTTCTGTAAGCTTCCACTTCTAATAATGTTTATATCTACATTCATTTATAAGAAATATATCATTCTGCAACAGAATATTTTCTATTTTACAGCTAGTTTTCACAATCAGAAGCAATCTGGTAGAAGCTTACTGGGGGAAAGAAAAATGGGTCTTATTCTGTAAGTAAATTTAAGAAGAACTTGATAATCTGAAGACTGACAAGAACCCTTGCAACCACCAATTAATAATATCTACACTGGAGGATCATTCAAATGTAGCAAGCGTGTACTGAAGTATGAAATGAACTATCAGAGAACAATGCCTTTTCAAATATCATCTGAAGAAATTATTTGAGCCATTAAATTCATAACGAAAATAAAATTGTAGTTATTGAGTATAATTACATGTTGATTGTTTGCTAATGCAAGTAACTTGTCACAAATAATTTCAGACTTACTGACTTCTGTCATGATAATATACTGATTAAAATTCCAAATGATGTTATTTACAGTGAATTTACAAGTGTGACAATTTTAATAAGCCTGGGTGGTATAACAGGAAATTCTATAATGGTAATTAATATATTTGTATATATTTAATAATATATTTGTTAATGCGGATACACAAACTGGAGGAACATTAATTATTTTTATGTAATGACTGTTTTTAAATGGAAATGGTTGTAACGCTGCCCCTGTGATCAATGTAAAGTTGGGAGTGGTTTGGAAACCAACGAGGAGAAAATTTATAAGCAACAATTTTCTTGATTTGCTCCTCCCTTCTCTTTTTGTCCTTTGGTGTGTTTGCAAAGGCACTGCATGCTTTCTGGTTCCTCATTCAATTGACATGTGGGATCCTCAATATTGAGGATTGGGATCAGAGCCCATCCTGAATTCATCCTTTCTGATCAGCAAACATCCACTCTGTTCAACAAAGGTCACAGGAGAGCTTTCAGAAGCAAGAACTCTTCCTGGTTTTCCTATTTCTTACTGGAAGTCCTTAATGCTAGGATTCAAATATGGAATCTTCCTAACCTATGTGGCTCCTCTGCTGACTTAACAAGCTAGAGACTTTATGAACTTGCTGAGCCATTATCTGTCGCCCTGCTGAGTTATCTTGTAATTGCAATGGAACAGAGTGGTGATAAAGAAGGCCACCTACTAACTTAATAACAGAGTAAATAAAATGCAGGGTTCATGCGAGCAACAGATATATTCTGTGTTTCTACAGATGTGGAATTATACTTTCTTCTAATTTTATACCACTCAATCTTCTTCAATAGTTTTCTACATGGTAATTGTCACAGGTTGGCTACAAGTACCTCATTGTCCTCAATAGGTGGCAGTTTGAATGTTGTTGAAGTTGGAGTGGAAAGCAACCGTTTATGAGGCAAAAAGCAATATAAGGTGATAAAGCAGGTCGTGAAAGCTAAAGACAAAGGAAAAATTAAGGCAGACATAAAAACAGGAAAGGGAGGAGAGAGAACCCAGGACATGAGAAAAAAGGAGATAGTGAAGAGTGAGAACACAAGAAAAGGCAGAGAAGAATTTGAAAGGCAGGGAGAGAAAAGGAGCAGGATGCAGCCACATAGAAAGAGAAATAAAGGAGCAAGCTGCATAGGAAACAAATATGAGGACATAAGCATTGGACAGAGAGGTAAAAGAAATTGAGAATAGTGGGAACAAAGGATGAGAGAGGTTGTTTTTGCACTGCCTGTGTCTTTAACTATAGGTGTGTGAGAAGCTAAGAATATTTGTGGAATGTCCAGCCTGAAAAGATTTGAAAAATATTAAATTGCGAACTCTTTTTTAACATTTAGAAACAATTCAGTGGAGCCAACCTTGAAGGTATGTGTTTTGTGCAGGCCCATAAAACTTACCTACATTTAGTAAGTGTTTATGTATTAACATTGAAGTTAATATATGTTTAAATGTTGTGGGGAGAGGGATCTGTGGGAAATGGTCAGCAAGGTTGTTATTTTGAGAAATATTACAATGAGACATTCATTCAGGTTGCAGATTCAGCATTGAAAAGGTAATGTTATCACTCCTAATTCAGAAGTTTAGTGGATTCAAATTCCAATGCAGATAACTGATTACAATATGCTGACTGAAAATCATGCATTACCAAGTGCAACACTGTCAGACAAAATATTAAGCCACTTCCCCAACTGCCCTTTTAGGTGGAAATGAAAGAATGAAGTCAATATTTAAACTCCAGGCAACAGTACTAAAAGTAATTTCCTTTCGTTGTTCTTTCTGGAATCTTGCTATCCATAAATTGATCCCCACGCTACAACATTGAATTACAACTCAAAGGTATTCATTGGCTGTAAAGTGCTTTGGAATGTCTCAAGGCATCTTTTTTCTTTCAAAAGTAAAAAGACTTTCTGAAATTTACAACAGCTTCAGCATTTTGTTGTGACAGGTTAAAACTGCTGTCATTAAATGTTACAAGTCTGTGGGCTGCAACAACACAAAGGATTTCGAAAGATACAATTAAGAGAGCACCTTTTGCTCCATGCTTATGAAAATATTGCAGTATCATAGTCCCACAGTGCTACAAATCTGCAAGGAATGACTTCAAACAAAATTATTTGAAAAGATTTCAACAACTGAACACTTAATTGCTTTTCCTCTGCTGCTGCTTTTTATCTGAAAGGTTAGGAAAATATTCCCATTCACAACAGCTTCAAAGAGCCACTGTCACATATTGGAAAATTTTTGTCACCCTGACAATGCTCAAGTCATTGTAACATTATTGACATGGTATAAAACTAATAAATAACACAAAGAAAATCATCCAGAAAATAAATTTTACATGATGACTATCTCTTTACTAAAATGTCATTGATCTGAAATGCCAACCAAAGCTCCAAATTGCTAGGGTCCACTGACATAGATCAAGGATTGGGAAGGGGACAGCTTAGGATGGGAAGCTCAAACTTCTGTGCTGTGGAGTTTTACTCCACACTGAGTGGTCTTTCTCATTGAGAGGTTCAACACTCAGAAGTCAGCCCATTGAAGGGTAGCTTCAAGTTGGGAAGAGGATCTGATCCCACACTCCAGATGGCTTTTTATGGGAGGAGGGTTTTAATGAAAAAGGGAACTTGCAGAATCAGAAGTAAACACCTCTGCTCCTCCTGGTTGACAAGCTGTGGTGCAAATACATTGGACTTTCACCTCAAAGAGTCCTAGCCTCTCTCACCTCCAGGTTTCCCAAGATTGAAAAAATCCTTCTGGGTAGAGCAGATTATGTTGGAGAGGAGTTAGGGTCAGATTTAAAATGCAACATCTCCCTCAACTCCAATCTGCCAGTTCTTGAGAATCTAAAATCCATCTTTCTAATTCTCTTCCTGACAATGGTACAGCATTTTCTGTTTTCATTTTGTGAGAAGCTCTCAACTGGAGTTGACAAACTTACTTCAAAAGAGTTTGATCAATTAATGCAAATATATTAATTCTAAAGTCGCACAGCAAGTAGTTACACTGAGTTAGAAGGTAAAACTATGGACCAGTTTTACCCTCAACTCTACTCATTTCAGTCTTGCCGCAGGATGGGACCCAGGAGAGTCTTTTGGTCATTGAGTCTTTTACCATTGAGTCTTTTGGTCAGTAATTAAATAAAGTAATCAATGTTGACGCCTGCCTCATCTTTTAGTCATTATAATTAGTCACCTAAGACAATCTAGAATGACAACTTCAATGGGGCAGAAAGGGTGAAATGATAGGGGAGCAAATAAGCAGGAACATTTCATATACAGAAAAACATCTTCAGCATTTTTTATCTCAGCTACATCCTGAATTTAATCATGATACTAAGCTGACACAATTTTTTACCTGCATTCATAGACAGATCCAAATCAGAAATCCCCGATAAAATGCTGTTTTCATCGCTCTGCCTGTTGTTTTCACGATTTTCTTCTGCTGTAGTAGGGCTACTGTACAGGTCTTCTGGTGGCTGCTCATTTTTTTCAACAGCTAACTTGTCTGGTTTAGCATTATCCACATTATTCTGTATTTCATTTGGTAGTTGTTCATCTGTTACATTTTTACTTTCTTCTGCTGGTTCTGCATAAAAAAAGTGCTTGTTTAATAATGTATTCCAGTTTTATTTAATCTCTATTTTTATTATTTTCATCCACTTTTAATTAATTCTGCAATGTACATTACTTTCCGATGTTTATATGGCTTAATTGTTAGCACTACAGTCAGAGGTTGAGGGTTCAAGGAAAGCAAGACATGAGCATGGAAATTAGACAAATATTTCACGCAGCTATGCTACAGTACTGTGTCATTGACAGTGATATCCTCTGCATGAGCAGTTATACAGACATCCATCTCCTAGCACATGTGGACATTAAAGTTCCCACAGCTCCCACCTAATGGCAGAAAGTTCTCCAACATTACCTTATGAAAAAAATCCTATTGTTCATTGTTTATCATCCAAATAAAATATCTCCTGAATTGTCCACTAATATGTATCAAATACATGGGGTCTCCAATTTACAAACATCTGACTTACAAATCCTGTACCTATGAGCACAATCCCACACAGGGTATAATTTTAAACATCTGACACACAAACATTTCCTGTACTTACAAGCAGCTACTTTATATTGTCCTGCATTGTGTTCTGACTTGAACACAAACAGACTTGAGAATGGACTCAAGAACAGAATCAGTTCACAATCTGGAGATTGCTGGTACCAGGAACCAACGTAACTCATGTCTTTCTCATTGTACTAGCTGATTACTTCGGCAAGATGGGAATCAAGTGTGCCGGGAGGACAAAAAGCTTCATGGCACTCATTAGTGCAATATTTAAGTGGAACAATGTTTCATTGTTATCAAGAATTGAAGGTTAATAAGAATCAGAAAGTAGCCATTTCAATTGCTTTTCAATGTAGTGCAATGCATGCACAATAACATGTATTCAAAAAAGTTAACTCAAAGATAGCCACAATTGCAGAATAGAAACATTTACCACTACATACCTTAGAAAAGATCATAACTAAGTATTATCAAATTGAATACCTTAAAGCACATAACCTTACAACTTCAGCTATGAAGAAAGTGCCCTATGATTTAATGCGGCTTTTTGCTTTTATAGTTTAAATACACCAACATTCAATAAGAACATGTCTACACCTTACTTTCACCTCAGAAACATGTTTTTCTGACAGGTGAAGCATGCACGATGATTAAGTCATTATACTGTAGGTTACAAAATTTATTATTTTTAAAAAAAGAGTAGGACCTCTGGCATTTTGAAAGCGAGACTTTTTTAGCTTCATATAAGCAAAATGTTGTTCCATCATTTTCTCATTTTACAGTACTCTATTTCCATTGAGAATGGTCAGTTGTGTTCAGTAAAATGACAGCATCCATTAAGTTCAGCATTAATAGCATCATCCATGCTTCATAACCTCAATGTGGAACATTCTGTGCAGAAACAACCAGGCTTACTATAAGAAATGCTCCAGAGTACTTTAAATTTTGTAATAAAATCAGTAAGTTATATATAGTAAAAATTATTTTACAGTGTTCTACAGATGTATTATATTTTACAATAACTGTTTTACAATAATCCTACTAATTACTATTCAAAAGATCTTCAGATCACTTAACTCTTTTTATTGGATTTGTCAAGCAGATGCATAGACAGTCCGAAAATTCTCATTTCCAAAATAAATTAGTGTAAATGAATGGACACAATTTATTAATTTCCCATTGTATTTAAATCAATATTTTAAAAGGCTAATGATCACATCAGATGAGGAATATTTCACCTGCTATTCAAAACTTACAGAAAAATAAAGATTGACATGTTGCTCACCTTCCACCCACAATCAGCAACAGCGAGTGGAAACTGCTAGCTGCTAATGTTATTTAAGCAGGCGGCAAATTCACAATGGCCAATCATAGAAAAAAAAGTCAATCTTCAATCAAATGGTCAAACCTAAACTGACATAATCAGCAACTAATCATAAGTAAACATGTATGTTTTCAACAATCTCTTTTGGTGGCTTGCTTTACATTTGGTATTGTAAGAAATGCAGTGTTGAACTTCTTGTGGTCCCTGTCTATTGACTCCACTATTATTTGAGTTTTACCAATTATTCCAGAGTTAGAAAATGAAATACACTGGACAGGTTAATGAGAGGAAGATTCAATTGATCAACACATGGCTGGTTCTGGATGGAAAGGTTCACACTATTTCTGGAGCAATTTCTAGAGCAAGACAAAACTATGCCAAATTATAGAGTCACAGAGTCATACAGATATACAGCACGGAAACAGACTCTTTCATCCAATCCATCCATGCCAACCAGATACCCTATATAAATCTTAGACCCATTGGCTAGTATTTGGCCTATATCCTTCTAAACTCTTCCTATTCATATACTCATCCAGATGCCTTTTAAATGTTGTAATTGTACCAGTCTCCACCACTTCCTCTGGCAGCTTATTCCATACACACATCGCCCTCTGCGTGAAAAAGTTGCCCCTCAGGGCCCTTTTACATCTTTTCCCTCTCACCTTAAACCTATGCCCTCTAGGTTTGGATTCCCTAAACCCAGGGAAAAGACCTTGCCTATTTACCCTATCCATGCCCCTCATGATTATATAAACTTCCAAAAGATCACCCCTTAGCCTCTGACACTCCAGGGAAAATAGCCCCAGCCTATTCAGCCTCTCCCTATAGCTCAAACCCTCCAACCCTGGCAGCATCCTCGTAAATCTTTTCTGAACTTTTCTAGTTTCCCAACATCCTTACTATAGGAGGGAGACCAGAATTGCATGCAATACTCCAAAAGTAGCTGAACCAATGTCCTGTACAGACGCAACATGACCTCTCAACTCCTATACTCAATGCACTGACCAATAAAGGCAAGGACCAAACGCCTTCTTCACTATCCTGTCTACCTTCAACTCCACATTCAAGGAACCAGGAACCTGCACTCCAAGGTCTCTTTGTTCAGCAACACTCCCCAGGACCTTTCCATTAAGTGTATAAGTCCTGACCTGATTTGCCTTTCCAAAATGCAGTACCTCACATTTATCTAAATCAAATTTCACCTGCCACTCCTTGGCCCATGGGCCCATCTGATCAAGATCCCATTGTAGTCTGAGGTAACCTTCTTCGCTGTCCACTACACCTCCAATTTTAGTGTCACCTGCAAACTTACTAACCATACCACCTAGGTTCACAGCCAAATCACTTATATAAATGACAAAAAGCAGTGGACCCAGCACTGATCCTTGTGGCACACTGCTGGTTACAGGCCTCCAGTCTGAAAAACAACACTCCACCACCACCTTCTCAAAGGTCTTCTACCTTTGAGCCGGTTCTGTATCCAAATAGCTGTATTCCATCTGATCTAAACTTGCTAACCAGTCTACAATGAGGAAACTTGCTGAACGCCTTACTGAAGTCTATATAGATCACATCCACCACTCTGCTCTCATTAATCCTCTTTGTTACTTCTTCAAAAAACTCAATCAAGTTAGTGAGACACGATTTCCTACACACACAGCCTTGTTGACCAACCCTAATCAGTCATTGCCTTTCCACATACATGTAAATCCTGTCCCTCAGGAACCCCTCCAACAACTTGCCCACCACTGATGTCAGGTTCACCCATCTATTATTCCTTGGCTTTCCTTACCATGTTTCTTTCTGCATTCACTTTAACCTGAAATGACCCCAATGCCATTGCAGAGTGGGTGAACACAGCAGTATGAAGAAATCGAAATAACGCAGCAGTAATTGGGAACCTCTCAGCTCCGAATACAAATCTGGGCCAGGAAAACATCAGGAAAAGATGTCAAATTTTGCATTGGTTTCATGCAGTTGGATTAGGAAGAAATGGGATAGCAGGGAGTTGGCATGTGAGACTGTCAAGCAACCAACTGTCAGTCATTGTGAGCTGTCTTTTAGATCTACTATGGAACTCACATGTTCTATAGAGTGCCAGTGTTATAATTGGGCCCTAAGTGAGGTTCACCAATTTATTCCAGTTCCAGGCAGGATATCCCTAACTATAAAGCTCCCATGAGAAATGAACTGATTACTTTTCATCACTCCCCACCCACCCTCAATTGGTTGCAATGAGATTAATTTATAAATTGCATACATCTTTCTTCCAGATCAAATGAGTTTTTGTTTTAGAAGGAATCATTTAGCCTGGCTTTTTTGAATTAATAAGAGAGAGTTTATTGCTAATGAAACATAAGAAAAAAATTAATACAATATACATATACAGATTAGAAATGAGTCCAAAAAAGAAAGAAAAAGTAAAAGATATATGGATCAGAATCTGTAAGTCATTTGTGAAGAATAGATAGTGAAAAATTGATAGTTCAACAGTCAATTTCAGGATTCTTGGTTTGATAGGTTAATTGAAATTCTTTTAATCCAGTTCATTTTGGTTTGGTTCACCAGTAGCACTCACACAAATAGAGTTCTTTTGTCATGCTTCCTTTTGACAGGCTGGTTAACTAGTTTCTAGCATCTTGAGTAAGAGATACTTTACCTAGAATACAGGGGTGACTGGAGGGAGGCTCTTCAACTGAGACCTTCACAATACACCGGCACTGGAATCCAGGCTAGCTCACCTGCGTACCTCAGTCCACTGGCCCATATAAGCACCCCTGCTCATTTAACACAGCTGCTTCCACAAGCACAAACAGGGTTGAATTGTCTTTTAACTTCGTTCTTGGGTATTGTGAAAAGGGAAGACACAAACAGTCTCTGACCCTAACTGCTGTCTTTTCCCCCATCATGTTCACAGTCTGAAATAATTCCCGGGATGTTACAGTTTAGTTTTTGTGCATTTCTTCCTTTTAAGTCCATCTGTTTGAAGTGTCCCGGATACCTTACCAGGTGTGACATTCCAGGATTTCTCCCTCAACACAATCATTAAATCCACATCCACAGTCATTCCATGGCTGTATAGCCTTTTGTTCAAATGTAAATGCTTAGGTGTTCTGATCTCTCATCATAACAATCAGAGTTACACTTGCCAAAATGAAATGACAGTACGTAAACAGGTGAGTGCCTGATGGAAGTGGCCACCATTGAGGATAATTTCATTGTCCACCATGCAGCTGAGGTTAGGTTCAGCAAAGGATTGGAATGCTGGTTTGGGAAGGCTGCATCATTTGAAGTCATACTGAAAGAATGTCTCCCATGGAGTCTTAAATTCTCAATGCTGGCAGTACATCCTGTGTTTGACCCCTCCACTGAGGAGCAGAGTGCTTATATGAGAGGAAGAGAAAGTGATAGAACAGTTCAGTCATACAGAGTGCAGCTGGAAAAGTGAGAGAAGGACCACCTCATGAGGCTGAAAGATGATATGAACGAGGAGGGTGTATTGGACCATGAATGTAGACTAATGTTCACAGAACACAATAATCATCTGAAAGAGTTTACACGCAGAGGTTTAACTTCATAGAAGTTCAGAGTACCAGTGGTTCTGAAACCTGTGTCTGTCCAGACAGGTGATGACAGAGCTGTATACAAAATTGGAGGAGCAGTTGAGGCCGAAGGGATATTATGGCCAGTGGGGTCAAGGAGATCATGATGCTTCACTTTCATACCACACACCCATTCCAAAGTTCTTCTGGAGACATCTGTGGGATTTCTCAATCAATGGTCAATCACTGCATCAAATTGCTGATCGTGCAATGGACCACAGGCAATGGAGTACATCAGGTATTGCACCAATTAGGCCACCAGATTATCACCGTTAAATTTCATCCAATGGCGGAAATCAGCCCTATCAGAACAGTTTCAAGCTGCTTAAGCAAAGAAACAAAGCAGCTAATGGGAAGATTGATGGTGCTGTGGTATTGTCAATGGACCAGGCTAATTTTCTGGGGACACAGCTTTAAATTTCATCTTGGTAGATGTTTGAATTTGAATTCACTTCATAAATCTGGAACAGTAAGCTGGTCTCAGTGATTGTTATCTTTGTAACTAACATCGATTGTCAGAAAATCCCACCTCACTCACTAGATTTCCTTCAGGAAAGGAAACATGCCATCCTTACCTCCAGACCTGCAGCAAAATGATTTACTCTTTACTGCCTTCTGAAATGGTCCAGCATACTAATCGCTTTAAGGGTAATTAGGGATTAACAACATCCTGCTATTGATGCCCACATTCAATGAAAGAATAAATGAAATAAAAGATTCCATGTTTCTAATAGCTTCTTTCTGTAGTATAAATTTCTGTAGTTTCACTGTGACAAATGGAAAAAGACTTATTGGTTGCCAAGGTTAGAGGGTTTGAGCTATACTGTGAGGCTGAAAAGGCTGGGGCTTTTTTCCCGGAGTGTCGGAGGCTGAGGGGTGACCTCATAGAAGTTTAAAAATCATGAGGGGCATGGATAGGGTGAATCGACAAGGTCTTTTCCCCAAGGTAGGGGAGTCCAAAACTAGAGGGCATAGGTTTGAGGTGAGAGGGGAAACATTTAAAAGGAACCTGAGGGGCAACTTTTTCACGCAGAGGGTGGTGCATGTATGGAATGAGCTGCCAGAGGAGGTGGTGGAGGCTGGTACAATTACAACATTTAAAAGGCATCTGGATGGGTACATGAATTGGAAGGGTTTAGAAGGATATGGGACAATTGCTGGGAAATGGGGCGAGTTGGAGGAAGGGTCTATTTCTATGCTGATTAATTCTACGACTCTAATACTGTGTCAGTTCAAGCAGTCCTATTTATTACAAACACAGAGAATGCTGGAGAAACTCAGCAGCTCTGGCAGCACCTGTGAAGAGAGAAATCAAGTTAATATTTCAAGTCCAATATAACTCTTCTTCAGAACTTTGCGTTTTTTTATAATTCCAGTTTTACTTGATAACTGGCAGAAATTTATTCCAAATCCTTAAGTTTATTTTCTGATTTTTGTCCATCAAAATGTATTTAACTTACTCACTGTGTTGTTAATGAAATGGATTATCATAATGATCTTTGGTGACTTATTTATTTAAAGAATTGTTACCATGTTAAAGCCTACAAATCTGTAAATTATGTGTCTATGAAAATCCATGATTTTGTGAAACAACTCTTGGCATTGACTTAATATTGTAAGAAAGTAGTCAGCCATTATTTGTATCATCTTTAATACATTAGAAGGACCATTAAATTCAGAAACATTAGCATCAACATTAATAGTTCAGAACTTACCTTCTGTTTTAGATAAGCTGTTATCATTGCCAGCTAACAAGTTTGCAAGATCCCCATGTCCTGTATTTTGCAGTACTCCCAAAAATTTGGAGAACCACCCGGGAGGTTTCTTAATTACTCTGCTCAATAATTTACGAGCTCCTGCTCGGTTTCCATTTTGTTTGGTTTCACTTAAAATCTGAAAGGACAAGTTTAGATGAGCATTAAAAAGGTTGTCATAATAAACATTAGCTTACATGTATATTTTTTATTCAGATACCTTGGTGCTGTTAATCGAATGATTGCTAATAGCATGTATCATACATTTGTATCGTTATCATTTTCCTAAACCAGGGAAGCTAAAATTTAATATGTCTGGATGATGATGTATTTAAGAATACAGGCCTCCTCTGACACTATGCTGACAAACTAACAGAGATAGCATGGTCAAATTCCTAGAAAATGTTCGACTCAAAGGATGAGTGGGTACAACTGAATCAAGCCAACTACACAATCATTGGACAGAATTTCCCATTCCCATTGTGGCATGAGCAATAGCATAAAAGATGGGAAAATCTGGAAGAATGAAATAACCAGAAGCTTGACATAGAGAAAAAATTGTGCCAGTTTTCCCTCAAGCTTGAAATGGCAGCTTCAGAATTGTTGGTGCGGTGATGAACTTTTTTCCATGTATTTGCATCTCACCTTCAAGTTCTCTTCTTCTCTCCTCCTTCCATGGTATGTAAATCAGAGTAGGTACCTGCTGGCTGCAACTCGCTAATCCTTTTTCTGAACAATGTTCCTGGCCACCATCCACCTTGAACCTTTGTCCACACAAGTTGGAACTGGAAAACCCCTAGCCTCACTCCATCACCATGCCTGCTGCTGCACCCATTCACACACTACTTCAGCTCTTCAACACTTTAATTTGGACCTCAGGGATAACTATGACTTGCATGCTACTTCCAGGTTTCTTTGCATTGAGAAATGCACATGCATCTCATATATCTGCATCAGGGTATATAATATGGCTGTTAGCTTGTTTTCTTATTACTCACTTTTCTCTTACTTGGAGGCTACCAGCCTCTGCCTAGTTCACATGTCTTTTTTAGCACTCAGAAGTTTTAGTGTTTAATTACAGGTTACCAGCCTTTGAGGCACACATCGCTTTTTTAACCAACAGGGTCTTCATGCTACGATGCAGGCTGTCAGCTTCTGTGGCTGGGATTGCTTTATAGCACAGGGTAAGAGGCAGGCAAGTTGTCATACTGAGGATCACTGAGCAGTCAAGGAGGTGGACATTTCGCTCTGCAGCTCCGTGCTATATTAACAGCACGTCTGCAGCACAAGCCAACAGTTTTTACACAACACTGCATGTGGTCCAAGAAAATGGCCATGTTTAAAAATCAAAGAGAGCAGTCTTTAGTGAGCTGAAGGGGCACTACAGAGAGTTAGAGGGTATAATCACAGTCAGTCAAGGTGTTCAACAGAAATGGGAGAGGCTGAAAAGTCATAGGGGCCACATTGACAACAACACAAAGGGAAGTATGAAGGATGGAGGGATGTTCATGTCAGCAGGGTTGCAAGTCATTCACTTGCATATGAAGTTGGCACCTCGCCATGTCTGATTGAATATTAAATGTGCAATCGCTTGCACAAAATTGCTAACGCCATGTACAAAGTGGTAACCGATGCTAACTGCTGAAGGTCTGCACCAGATATCCTGTGAGCTGCCATGGTCTTTACATACTACAGACACTCAGGTTCCTGTCTTTTTCCAAAGTACTCAGTCCATCAGGGATGGCTGCTCAGAAATAATGGCTACCCACTTCGAAACAGGGCTCAAAATTACAAAATCCTCAGACTGACACAGAACAAAGATTCAGTGCTGCCCGCACTTCCACCAGGGCCATAGTGGAACAGACCATAACATCCTTAAGATGGAGTACTGATTCCTGGAAGACTTAAGCTCAGTTTTACAGTATAACCCAGAAAGGTTGTCTCACATCATTGTGGCTTTTTTATTTGTTCATGAAATGTTGGATCTGCTGGCTAGGCCAGTATTTATTGGCCATGCTGCGTCCTTCACAGCCCTTGACAACAAAAGCCAACAAAGGGAGAATGTCCTGGAAGGAGACAAAATAGGAGATTGACAGCAATCTTCTGAAGATGAAGATGAGGATTAGCACATTGACCAGAACAGCAGGCCAAGTGAGCATGAGATAGCAGCACATCATCAAACTGGGAAGCTCTCAACAAACCACACTTCCAGGATAAATGATCTGGGTTTAGACTTTCAGTTAATTGTTTAAATTTAGATTTACTGGTAATCTGGCAAGTAGCCCCTGCTTAATGCAAGGGACATGTGGATCTTGTTATTTATTAATTATGCATTACCTTGTGCTGCTATCAATGCATGGTTTAAGAATCCCTGACCTTTGAGGCTCTCTGCAGTTAGGGAGTCTATTGGTTGAGAGAGGTGATCAATATTTGGCCATTACAACTTCTTTGATTCTCGGAATGTCTGAAAAAGCTGCTCCTCTCTCACATGGATGTAACTTTAGCAGGTCCAACAGCAACATTTTAGAATACAGTAGGCATGTTATCAGCGCAAGCAAACGTATATTTACAAAATTAAAAGGTTATTTACAATGATGCTTCACCCATGTCACCTATGTGCCCTCGATAAATCTTCTTTTTGCTTTGTACACTACCATGTTTATGTGCAGTCTTCTCTGGCTGGGATGGAGAGAAGCTGCTTAGCAGTCGGCCCTGTTGGCTTGAAATACTTGGCTTGGTCATCATTGGTGCCTTTAGGCTTGGCGGGCCTAGACCCACTGAGTCTCCTGCCCAGATGCAGGCTCACTTTCCTCAACTTCCACATTTGCAAACACAGGCAGGGGTGAAAAGAAGGGGCCAGGTGCCTTTGGAGTGCCCTCAGAAGAAACTTGGGGAATCCTATGAGTGGCAGCTCCTCTCTATGGGTGCCTACTGGCACCACCCTGTCTCCCTGAAAGGAAGGGGCACCTGGAGTGAGATCAAGATCCTTGATCACCCTCTCATTTTGTCATTGATGCTGAATGCCCATGGCAAGAGTGATGGAGTGCAGGTCTCTGCGCATAACCTAAAGACACTGAGTGTGCTGGATCTGGCTTTCAATGGTAGACTCCTCCATCTTCCATCCATGAGTGCCTCTGACCTGTCTGTTGTTCCTGTGCCTCTCTGTGCATTTTGACAATGTCATTAATGCTCAAGGCCATGAGATGAACTGGTACCTAGTCTCTGGCAGTCCTATGTGTGTCAGAGACCTGGGGCTTTTCTTCCTTGATCATCTCTGGAAACAAGATAGTGGTATGCTCACCAAATCTATGTTTGCAAGTCTAACCTAGATACACAACCTTCAGAGGTGAAGTTCTCTGAGCTGGTAGATGGTGCAGGTGGAAGCCTTGCCTGTGCATCCTGTCAGACTTTAATGTTTTCCTCTGCCAAAGTGAAGGTTGAGTTAAGAATCTCTGACACTGGTCTCTTCTTGGCAGGAGTTCGCTGGGTGTTGCCAGTGCCTGCATATAAGAAGAAAGGGGAGTAGCTGTTTAAGAGGGATAAAGGTTGTGCAGACTGAAAATGAGTTTGCACTGCTCACTGTGGGAGAACAGTGCAGCATTGCAAAATGGCTAGTACTTGATTGGTTGAGGCCTCTTCATCTTGATCTGGTTGTGGGCCACCATTTCCTGCAGTGAAACAAAGGATTGGATTAAGTATGATGGAATTAGATTGAAGAGTAGTTAGTGATGATACTGGAGAAGTAGAGGTGATGAGCTGTCACTAGTGAATGAGGTAAGGAAGCAGAGAGGGAAGAAAGGCATAGTATTTAGGAGCATGAGGTAGGCGGGAGCCATTGAATCAACATGATTCATGTAATAGTGAGAGTCCATGTGCCTGGGCGAGGGGTGTGTGCAGTGGCAGAGGTGGCCCTGAGATTGTGAGGTGGCATAAAGAAGATGGTTGCACTCACCCTTGCAGAAAACAGATCATTAACATTCTTTCTGCACTGCTTGGCATCCTGCTTCACCCAGGGCATCGAATAATCCAAGTGGCAATCTGGGTACAGGCTAGCTTGGTCTGGTGGCCCAGCCTCCTGTGGTAGTCAGCAGGTGAAAGGACTGCCCTGTCCAAACACAAGCACCTCCAGATCCCTGTCCGTGAAGCAGGATGTGAACTTTCTTTCCCTCTAGGTCATGGCTTCGATGATAAAAGTCCTGCAGCACAGAGTGAGGGCCAGTTGTTAGCCTGTCGCAGCTGAAGTGATGTGCAACTGAGTTTGACTATGACATCAGCAGCATATATGCAAGAAGGTCCTGGCAGTGGTGAGGACTTCTGCCTCCTCAGCAGAATGATTCTCCAAGAAAACACCCTGGTTGTAAAACTGAGGTAAAGAGTGGACAATTCCATGAGATATATTGCTCCCAGTCACTGCAGACTGGATCACTCGGCTCCTTACATCTGCGTACATTTCCTACTTCTAACTGTCGCATTTTGTCAAGATGTTTCCCTTCTAAGTGTATCTCTATATTCTATTCTTCATGAAAACTGTTTTTATAAATGAGTCTTGTTGTAATTGCAGAACTTAGCCACTTGGTGACACTGTATTATCTTTCCCACATAAATCACTCAAAACGTTGAAAATATTTGACACTAATTTTACACCATAGCAGAAATTTATGCTATAAATTACTGTACTACAATAAAATTATCAAAACGAAGTATACATTTAATTGTCTTTTGTAGCCTTTGGAATGCTTGCATTCATGCTTTAATTTGAAGGTCTCAGCGTTTTTTCTTGCTGATGTTAGTGATGACACTAGAAAATGAATTTGGGAAGTGCAGCCTGATTATATGCACTCTGATTAATTTTCAAAATGCACAATTCAGGTCCGTTCAACTGAGATTTTCCTTAGTCGTCAGCAGATTTAAGGTAGTTACATCTTTCAAAACAATTTGAAGAAAAACTAGGAAACCTATTACAAAAGCTTTATTTGGTTAACATTCATAGTGAGTGTATTTTGAGTTAAGAACTGTGTGTCAAAGTATAAAAGATGGTCATGTACTGATCACTCACTTGTTTACCTTTGTTTTCGGATAAACTGAGCCTCTGCTAAGGTCGATGTAAAATAATCCATGGCACTAGTTTGGAGAAAAGTC